GCCCTCAAATTAGCCGGTACCAGGCCAGACCCACTTATTGACATTGGGGTATAATAGCGAGGACGCCATGACAATTTATAGCCGCCATGGAGGCGTCACGACATCGTTGCACTCGATATCATGCCTTAAAGCACAAAGTGCTCAAATCACCAAAAAAAAAACATATCAATTCAATGTGAAAAGGGATAATCTCACAAAATATGAAACTATATTTATATACAAGTGATAGATGCCAAGATGGTAATGAGATACAATATTGCCTCTATAATGAATTAGTGATTAAAGAAAGTCACAAGAATCGGGTATCCGTACCTTAGACGRCAATCGAAKAARTAARYACGTAGCTYMTATCCCCTTGTTAATGCCCTTTCTTATTCTAAGATTGGTCCTGAATAAATCACACATGTTTGTGACTGATTGATACAAGATCTACGGATATTACAATCCTCAAAGCACAAAGTACAAGCAAAAGTAAAGCTATTAAATCCCCTGCACCAAACAGTTTTGAACCAACTTGACTTTGATCATTTTTCTCATACTTAGAGAAGCATTCAGGTGTTAATGTCTAAACAAAAGTTGTAGGCATGCTCGTTTCTGACATTTTTTAGGCCCTGGGCGAGATGTAAAAAAGAGCTCTCGATGAGTACGATATTTTTTCAATATATTGTTTTTATCATCAGAATTAACATTGAATTCATATAAAACCATTTTCCGAGTATTCTTGAACGCTGAATCAAGCAATACTCATTTCTAATTTGTTTCATCATCAAAAAACATCATATAATATACTTTTGGTACATAGAATGATATCATTTTGAATCACAAAGTCGATTCTTCTGATTTCCGAGTGACACTATATAAATCAATGTAAAAAGGTTGATTTTCCATGTCATCTCATGTTAATATTTTTTAACATCTTTTTGAACTTTTATATTATGTTTTTGAATTTGGGAAGATTAATATCATTTTAAACTTTTATATTATTATTTTGAATTTGGGAAATTAACACAATTTTAAACTTTTATACTATATTTTCGAATTTGAGAAGATTAATATCATTTTAAACTTTTATATTATGTTTTCGAATTTTGGAAGGAAAGAAAGAATGAGAAAGGAAAAGAAAATAAAAAGGAAAGAAGAAAAATAAAGTTTTTTATTTCTGTTTTTAATAGAGAAGAAAGAGGAAGGAAAAATAATGAAACAAAAATAAATTTTTATATAATTTTTTTCTTTTCCTTTTCTTTTCCTTTCCCTAAAAAAATCTCGAGAACAGAATATTTTTCTTCCCCCATTGCTTTCATCTCTTTCTTACGTAAAGAAGACTCAATAACATAGAGTTAGGGTTAAAACAAACTTTTATGGAATCATCGATTATATAAATTAAAAAAACTCATATTGGTGATAGTTTGAGATCTTATTCTTCTTTAGAGATAGAATATTACATAAAATTTATACACTAAATATTAGATAATAAAGAACAGCTATGAAAAAACAATTATAGTGTTATTATTCTAAATATAAATATAAGTTGTACCATCTTATATGATTGGTAATTTTTTTTTCCAAAGATGGGGGTTTTGTTACCTAATAACAAAAAAATCTATCATATTCTAATATAACAACAAAATTCACGCGAGAATGGAACAATCAAAAGATCGATGGGAGATAAATTATGGAAAATATATCAAAGTTTTCGAAGCAAGTAGTTTTAGACGTCGGTTTATATTTAAAAACTTAGAAAAACATTAAATGATATTATATAATGAACGACAGATTAATATCTTTATGTGTTTTTTCTCCAATATATTTAATTCATACATGTTTGGATATTTAATAGTTAATGTAGTACAAAAATATTTTCTTGTCATATTAGATACTAATTTTTTATGTGTCTTCTATTTACTAATTTTTTGAACTACTATTATATATATTAAAAAAATTTGGGCGTACGCCCGGCCCGCCCTCCCCCAGGGACGGCTCTGGTTGTAGGCCGAATACTTAGGGTTCCAATCGATTTGGATTCATTCCGTTTGGAGCAAAAACCTATTTTATATGAATTTTCTAAAAACAGTATGCAAATCCCGTTTTTGCACAGGACCAGCTACATATACTCACTGTTTTGACCATTATGGAGGTAAAACCAAGTCTGGACATAAACTACAAAGTTGTAGAAGACACATATACCTTTCCAACAATATATGTCACACCTCAAATGGATCAACGAGTGATTTTATATGAATTTTTTAAACAACCAGCARTACTAAGATTCTATACACAGCTCAAAACAGTCCCTTTTGCATAAGATTTACACTAATACCATCAAGAATCAACTATCTAACTTACCATATTGCAAATAAATGATTAAAACTTAATTTATAACTTYTTTAACCAACAATGACATAAAAATAACATCATTTAACAAAGGTTTAACTTACTAATCAAAACCTTATGAACCCTAACATGAAACCTCCCAATTTTATCACAATTCAACAAATTAGACCACAAATCTTGAAATTTATAGCTTCATACCTTGCTTCTTTACATTGCCTTCAATCAATTAGCTTTAAATCTTCAAACTAACACCAAATTGGAAGATGCATGAGGAGGTAGAACCAAAAGCTAGGGTTTAAGAGAGAGAGGCGTATGTTTAGAAAGAGAAGTGAAAGAGAGAAATGAGAGTATTTTCTAAAAATTAAGGATTTAAATACTTAGTAAAAGAATACCCACTTAGCAAATGTTACCCCTCATCAATTGCCTAATTCAATATTAGATTTTACATGAATTTTTTCTTAACATTTCTAGTCCTAAGACCAATTTATTTTCTAACATAATTGACCYTTTACATAAAACTTGGACTTATATTATTAGTCCAAAATACAACTACTTTAAGCAAGGGTACAAGTAGATAAAGCTTCCAATTGTCATGAAAATAATTATACCAAGATTAATCAATAACAAAATCTAGACTGTTATAGAGATTTTTTTTAAATCGCAAACATTGAGTTGGGTTGAGATTTTTCAAATGACTTCAACCTGACCAAATACCAACCCAACCCGTGTGCAGCAGCCCTAGTCGATACAGGTTGAAATTGAAAAAAAAATTAAAATAGAAAAAGATCTGAAAACCCAACAGACTTTAATGTTTTGAGTGATTAAGTTTATAAATATTTTCTTTAAATAAATAAATCATTGAACTTACTTAAACCGGAAAAATCTAATGGACTTTCACATTGTGGACAATAAGTTCGTGGACATTTTTTTGAACAAATAAATCATTGTAGTTATAAAACAGAACGAATATATCATTTCCCATCAATGTATTAGCAAAGTACAATGAACCAATAACACGAAGGAATATATCATTTTCAATTCTAGCATTAGAGGAGGTGTGTTAGAATCTCACATCAGTTATACTTGGACCATTTTCCATCTATATATGTTGAAAACCCCCCTCGTTATCTTCTTAAAACTCTTTTCAGAAATATCTAATGGGGTTTAACATATATTCTTAGAAACCTATTAAACAAGGTACTGATTTTAAATTTGATTTTAACAAACTGATTTTAAATTTGATTTTAAACCATCTATATATTGTTATTATTTGATTTTAACAAGGTACTGATTTTAAATTTGAAAAAAAGAAACTTATTAAACAATATTAGAAGGGTACTCGCGCAATGCAGCGAGATACATCTTGATTTTAATGTTTCGTTTTATATTTTGGGTTTATCAATATTATAATGCTATGTGGTTATGAGAAAAAGAAAATGTTTTTATTTTTGAATGAAATATAAATTTGAAGATATCATAAAATTTTGAAAAAAATAAGTGATATTAGTAGTAAATTAACTATTTAAAAGTTCTTGTTTTTGTGTAATTTCTTTTATTCAAATTTTTATTATAATTTAATTAAAATTTAAAAACGAATTAATTTATATTTGGTTTAATAATATATTTTTTGATAATGATAATAATTAATTATTTTGTTAGAACTCAATAATTATCCTAATTCTATTTAAATTTTTTATATTTTAAAATAAGATATTTATCCTCTATTTGATTATGTTTATCCGCAGTTAGTTACACAAATTCAAACATGGAGCTTTAATAAGTTGTACTTACGCACAATTTACTTGTAATATTGAATTTTAAGTAATATGCATCAATAAACAATATTTCATGCATAAAAACGGTTTTTAAGAGTTTTTGTCAAATATTTTATAATATAATATAGATTTGATGTTTAATAACTTAGGTTTTAAAATTTGTATGTATACAGTAATTAGTCGTAATAATAAAATTTAAGAGATTCTCGATTACTAAACAATACCTGATATTTAATAACTTGTTTTTAAAACTTCGACTACATTTGTGATACGTTATAGATAATAAAATTATATTCATAGAAATTGTATATTATAATGTGAACAACATTGCTTTCAATCATATTTGTGTGCAGGGCCATCTCTGGGGAAGGGCAACACGAGCGCATGCCTAGGTCCCAAAATTTTCTATTAAAATATAATAGTAGTCTAAAAGAATTTAATAAATTAAAGAAACCCAAAATATTGTAGCATATAATAAGAGGAAAAAAGAATTTAGTAGATAATAAGGGCCCAAAAATATATCAACTAATTACATTGAAGAAGAAAATAAAAAAAATAATTGGTAATTCATTATATGTTATTGTTTATTGTCTCTCTAATTTTTTCTTTATCTCCAACAAGGTTCAATGATATTAGTTATTGCTACCTTTATATGTTTGACTATTTTCATGCTTCAACAATTCAACGTTAAGATCATGTGCTTGTTATTGCTATATATTTTTGTTGGATATTTTTATCAATTTCTGCTTCTATCGACTATTGTTATTTGGTTATGTTGTTTTAACTGTTTTTGTTGACTATTGTTATCTATTTTTGCTTCTACATAAAATATTTTACTATTATTTGACGATAAATCTATTGTTCTTATAATTTATGACGTGTTTCATGGTTTTGTGATTAATCAATAATTTTTTTTTCCACAAGATGTATTTAGTAATGTCTCTTATATATGTCATGTTCCAATACTTTTAATCTAACATCTTATTTTAGTTAAACAAAAAAAGGAAAATAGAATTTAAATGTTTTTATCAATTGTTTGACTTATGTATCTTTCATTGGGATTCCACCACAACACAATATTCTATTTAAGTGCCTAAGCAATCATTTGTTGAGCTTGCATGTTATATCTTTAATACATTATTTATTCTTATTGTATCTTAATGGATCATCTTTTCTTTTATATTCTTATTGATCCTCATTTGTCTACTTGTCTAGAAAACTTTGATAGTTTTCTTTATTAGTGATATCTCATTGACCCTCACAATTACTTCATTCACACGAAGTTCTTTTTTTTTTTTTCAAAATAACATATACTTCTTATTATGAACTAAAAAAATTCTTACTTCTTATAAAAATTTATCAACCACAGTTTATATATTCTTGGTTCAAATAACCTACTAAGAAATACGTAAATTTAAGGTGACGTTTGTTTTTTAAGAGGTGCTGAAGTCTGAAGTCTGAATTCACTTCTGAATTTTAAGAGGTGGTGCTGAAGTCTGAAATCTGAATCAGTCAGACTGTTTGTTTTTACGTCTGAAATCTGAAAAGTGATCTTTTTTTTTTTCCTGTGAAACTTAATTTGGAATTTTGTTGAATGCTTTTTAGTTTAATGACAAACTCAATTTGCAAGTTTTACATACAATTTCATGATTTCAATAATATGTTTTAACTCAATAATTTGTAAAGGAAATAATCATATACCCACTAGAAGCCCTTTCTCTCTATTTCTCTATTTCTCTCTCTCTCTCTCCGAAAGCTTAAATCCCTCCCTACCACCACCGCCTCCCCCGCCGCTTCTCGTTTCCCTCCGTCGAAATCCAGGTCGCTGATTTTGAACGAATATCAGATGGAAAAAAGGGTTTGGAATCGCCTCCTTCTACCGACAGTCCAGAAGAGCAATCCGATGGAAATCGATGCGAGAGAAAAGGTTTGGAATCGAAATCGAAATCAAATTTGAAATCGGATACAAGTCCACGCGCTGAGGTTCATAAACAAAAGGATTTGAAAGCCAAATCTGGAACCGGTTCTTCTAAGGGAGCGTATGCAGTAGGCGAAGGTGATTAAGAGGTTTTCAGACTTTAGTTTACCTCTGAATAAATCAAACCTATTCAGATGTTTTAAGCACTTAATTTAAAAAAAAAAAAACAAACGCACTTAATACCTCAATGTCTGACCGATTCAGACATAAGAGACAATTAAGTGCTTTTTTTTGAAAAACAAACAGGGCCTAAGTACTCTCTTATATATCTATAATAAAAATAAATAAAATTTTATTTTCTCAGTAACTTATTAGCATTTCTTCTACTCAATTTCATATTAATGAAAAACATTTATTGAATTTTTTTCGTACTTATTGAGGGTCACTATAAGAAAAATGAGCTTTGATGATGCACTTTTTAGCGATGACATGTTTCCACCACAAGTTATAAGAACGACATGTTGTTGTTATATACTCTTTCTGATGATAAATGAACTTTTAGCAACGACTTAAAGCTTTGTTTCTTGCGGTGGGCCCTGTTTTTACGTTCGCCCAGAGCCTATAAAATGTCAGGAATGGGTCTGTTTGTGTGTTCCTCAAACTATGAATGAAAACAAAGTTTGTTACATTTTTTTATTAACCTAGATATCCAACCCGTTATGCGAACCAAATAATCTCAGGACGACCACCCGCGACAGTCACTGCATTTGAACCTCCGTGGCCACAAAGGGGATTTTTATTCATTCATGGTCGAACCTGAGACCTCCAGATACTTTTGACATTTGGAGTCCAAGCTCAAACCAATCGGGAGAAATGAGAAGTTTTGAAATTGGTTCTCCAAAATTAAAAGTTCTGAAAGTTGATTTCTCAAAATAAAAACTAAAATAAAATTGATTTTATTTTGCAATTTATTTTGTATTTGAAACCAATATATCCCACAATTTACTACAGTGTTCACATGTGATGTTTTGGTTAATCGTCCCGATCCTATAATATACAAGCAAAAGTGTATACATCACACATGTAAAAGACTCGTGTTTTCCTTTATTTTAAGTACTTGTTGATATTTCTAATAAAATATAAGTTCATATTTTTACGACTGATAAGACAAATGATAAATTGAAAGTTGTTAATATCTTTCTTTCCTCAACAATCTTTCAAAATTTCCATAAATCTTGACCATAAATACCACAAATCCTTTCTCTTTTCCGACCCCCAACAGCTTCCCATCATCCAAACGATTTCAACAACCATTCATCTTAAAACCAAATCAAACCCACATGACGACAACAAATATTTACATGTTGACATGTTCATGCTTAGGAAAATACGGTCACTCGAATGAAAACCGCTCAAAGGAAACAAGAATCAAGACCCCTCAATCGCATTCAAAACACACCCACATCACAAGAAGAAAAGCAGCATCGCTATTCCTCCTACTGTCTTGTCCAATTCCAATCTCCACCCAATCGGCATCTGCAACTGAATCCTCGATTCTAGACATGTTCAGAATGACAGTTCCTGACCAAACAGTGGAAGAAGCTGAGAATGGAATAAGAGAACACGCAATGAGTTTAGTACAAGTGAAAGAGCTCTTGGAATTGGAATCATGGAAAGAAGCACAAAAGGAATTGAGAAAGAGTGCTTCTTATTTGAAACAAGATATTTATACGATAGTTCAAGGAAAACCTGTAACAAAAAGAGCTCAGCTCCGAAGTCTTTACTCCAGACTTTTCAATGGCGTGACGGAATTGGATTATGCAGCTAGGGATAAGGATGTGACACGTGTATGGAAATTGTATGAGGATATGGTTGTCACACTTGAAGAGATATTATCCGAAGTGTAATAAAATTCATGTATCTTTAATTCATCAATAAAACTTAGAGTAAATAACAAGTTTGGTCCCTCTAGTTTGTCAAAAATAACACTTTTCGTTCTTATAATTTTAAAATTACAAAATGATCATCATGGTTTGCAAAAACATTCAGATTTAATAACCATTAAAAAAACTCAGTTAAATGAGGGGCATTTTGTACTTTTATCAATTTTTTTGTTTTTTATCCATTCAACAACCACATGGCCAGAATTTTAGAGTTCGATTTTGGTTGATTTAATAAAATGACGAAAGTGCCCTTCATTTAACGTAACATTTTAACAATCATTAGAGAAAGAGACCAAACTCGAATGTTTTACCAAACTACGATGATTATATTGTAATTTTAAAAATATAAAAACAAAAAATGTTATTTTCAATAAACTACAGGAACCAAATATGTAGTTTAAAATATAAGGAAAAAAGTGGTTGTGGGGAGGTTATCACGTGAAGGTGTGTTTTGCAGAGGTAAAAATGACAGCCTGTTTGCCCATGCCCATGCCAAAATGGACAATGTACCTCATTTTGTCTCTATATCCATCCATCCATCTTTTTCATCATCATTCATGTATGTGTGTATGCATGTATGTATGTTTACATATATAAAATGAGACTATAAACACATATTTGTCTTACATGCATGTGTGTACTGAGATGAGCTGGTCTGGGACCAACCCAAGATAGGTGAAGAAAAGCCCGGTTATGGTTCGGTTAAGATCCGACGATTAGACAACGGTTAAGGGATTTTATGTCGGAACCAGTTATAGAAGCGTTTGAAATTGTGACTGGCCAAAGCCAGTCATATCAAGACCATTAAACATGTACATATACATACATACATATATAAATATAGTAAAAATTGAAATTCTATTTAGAAGAATCGGAGCAGGTGCATTAAAGATCATGTTGGTTCAAATCCAAGGAGGAATAAAAATCCCCTTGTGGCCACGGAGGTTCAAATGCAGTGACTCCGGGCTATCTGCAAAGCAGTTAGTCGGCCTAAGATTAGTCGGCTCGCATAACGGGTTGAATATCCAGGTTAATAAAAAAAATCATGCATACCAAGGATTGGATTGGTTGAGATAACTGCATCCCAAATCAGTTAAAGTATTCAAGTAAATAACCAGTTATGAATTGTAAGCATTAGGTTCTGTATTAATTAAAACCGATTGAAGTCTCAGTTTTTTTTTCTATATCTATACTATATTATAAAGCATTTGACAAAAACTCTTAAAAACCATTTTTTTATGCATGAAGTACTGTTTATTGATACATATTACTTAAAATTCAAGATTACAAGTAAACTGTGCGTAAGTGCAATTTATTAAAGCTTCATGTTTGAATTCGTGTAATTAACTTCGGATAAACATAATCAAATAGAAGATAAACATTTCATTTTAAATATAAAAAAATTAAAATGTAATTAAGATAATCATTAAGTTCTAACAAAATACTTAATTATTATCTTTATAAAAAATTATATTATAAACTAAAAATAAAAAAATGAATTAAAGAAATACACAAAAAAGGAGAAATTTTAAATATTTAATTTGATACGAATATCGATATATTTTTGTTATGTTTTTATGATATTTTCAAATATATATTTTATTCAAAAATAAAAAAATCATCGTTTTCTCAAAATCACATAAAACCATATTATAACATCAGTTAAGACAAAAAAAACAAAACACTAAAATTGAGATGTATCTCGCTACATTTTGCGAGTACCCTTCTAGTGTGTGTGTGTGTGTATATATATATATATACACTACATTAATAAGCATTTAGACAAAAGTCTTAAAATCATAATTTATGCAAGTGATTTAAAAATCCCTTAAGTTCAAACTATTATGCATAATATACAAATGTTTAAAACATACCATTTGTTTGGTCAAAGTTTCAGATTTAAGTAACCCATATTTACATGAAAAAGATATGATTAGTCTTCCCAAAGTTGTTTGACACTTTGTTTGTTTCTTATTTTGAGCCCAAATTCAAATTCAAAGTTCTTCTTTCTCTTGAATTAAGTTGAAATTTGAAGCAACAATATCATAAAGGGTTTCAGATCCTGCATGTATCCCACCCCAACCCTTCAACTTTATATGAGTTTAGAAACTCAACATATGTGCAATTATTTTTTCAATCGATCTTGCTAATACACTATATTAACCTTCAACTTTATATATTAGTTGACTTGTAAAATAACATACAAACTCATGATTCAAGTCTAAACTAATGTTGAGATTTTTGTTTTATTTTAATGTATATTATGACATTGAGAGTTTATAATACCTATATAAGGGAAAGGTTAATTGCACATCTGTTAGCACCAACCATATAAAAGCCAATACCATCAAATAGCAATCAAGTCTCACTAATTTTGTTTTTCTTATACATATTTATTCACTACTAATAGCATATTCAATCTTACACCTATATTCAAATTAATATATATATAAATTAATGTGAGTAGCAAAATATTGTTATGTCAAATTATACTTCTTATATTAACAAATATATATATATATAATAATAATATTTTTTTTACTTTTTAAATAAAACAAAATAAGAACATGATATGATATGCATATGTATATGTATATTATAAAATAATATAGACTCTTTATAAGACCATCTCCAACCTGATACTAAAAACATAAATGAGGTGTTTTCAACTCTAATTCAACATTAAAACACTAAAAAATGGAGGTCCAAAATGTTTACATTTATATTTGGAGCTCAATAAAGTAGGCATATATATATATATATATATATATATATATATATACAATATTAAGTTATTATAATATATATATATTGATTAATAGTTTAATATATTAACATGTTTATCATTATTATAATATTAAAGATGGTTTTTGGTGTGTGGTTGGAGTTGATTTTTTAGTGTTTAATGGACCTATCATTTTTAGTGTTATTTTTTTAATAGTTTTGAAGATGCCCTAAGGAGATTCTTACCTATAAGGAGTGAGACAATGAAAGAAAAATCAATTTAGATAGTTCATTGAAGTGTCTTTTTTTATATTTGACTTCCTACAATAGTTAAAGAGCCAATATAAGAAGTACACCGGAGATGATCTATAGTTTAAATTGTGTGTTTTGATGTTATGACATTTTGACTTACAACCAATGTAACCGGTTAGAAGTTGATGTGGATTCCGAGTTTTGATATAGATTTTACGTTTATGTCAATCAATTTTTATAAATGTTTCAATTTCGTCACTAAGTTCTATGTATATTTAGTCAGTAAATCTTGAATACGTGTTATGTAAAAAAGATCGTAACGGGAGTTTTACAATGATTTAAGGAAGGACCCTTATGCAGAGGAGTTAAAAGGGGTATTTTAAGATTATGATGAGCAATTTGTGTAAATATATGTATTTTAGAAGTATAAAGTGCTCATAGAATATCTTTTTAATGTTTCAAATTATTGGATTGATGTGTATATATATATTTTTAATATTTGTTATGATACATCTTTTAGAACATTGTTTGTGGAAAATTGACAAAAATACCCATTTCTCATTTCTAAATTGATCTTCTAACTATTCATCTCCTTAAAATGTCATTATGTTCGCAAGTCTCACGTCCGCCACTTGTGGACCTAGCTAAAAGACAACAAAGAATTCAAATTGTAGACCTTATCATCGTAATTACGGATTTGAGTCAAATTTGATAAAAAAAATTTGTCTTTTAGCTACGTCTGCAAGTGGCAAACATGAGACTTATGGACGTAGTGATATTTGGATGAATTATGAAGATGAATGACTAGGAGACCAATTTATGTGTGAGAAATGACTATTGTAGCCAATTCCCCTATTTTTTATCTCTTGTAGAATGAATAAGAATTAGTCATTAATTGTACAATGTTTTGATTGTATTTCTAATATTGGATACCGTATTTTCATTATTGGGTATCAAGTTTTATAAACTAGAATAATCTCATATACTTTGTCACTTAACATGTTTTATGGTTGTGTGTTTGTTCTTACGTGAATATCGCTTCATGAAAAACCCGTAGATTACATCTTTGATGTATGAAACACGTATTTAAATTAGTATCGAATTCATATCTTTCTTTTACTATAATTGGATTTTAACTTGTAAAATTCTTTTAGTTTATTTTTTTATATATTTTTATGAATAAGAAATCTGAGAACAAATTATGCATTATTGATATGTTACTTCTATGAAGGCAGTTTATATTTAGACACATACATTTGTTAACTCCATTGAGTTTTAAACTATTTTATACTATATTATAAAATATTTGACAAAAACTTTTAAAAATCATTTTTATGCATGAAATATTGTTTATTGATGCATATTACTTGAAATTCAAGATTACAAGTAACTTTGCGTAAGTACAATTTATTAAAGCTCTATTTTTAAATTTGTGTAACTAACTGCAGATAAACATAATCAAATACATGATAAATGTACATTTTAAATATAGAAAATCTAAAATATAAACTAACATAATTATCATCTTTATAAAAAGTTATATTATTAAACTAAAAATAAATTGTTTTATTATTAAATCTAAATTAAATTATAATAAAAATTTTGAATTAAAAAATTACTGAATAGTTAATTTGATACTAATATCGATTTATTTATTTTTCAAAATTTTTATGTTATCTTCAAATTTAAAAATATTATTGTTTTCTCAAAACTACATAAAATCGTATTATATCGATAGTAACGGAATAAAAATTAAATATTAAAATGGAGATTTATTTGGTTGCATTGCACGAGTACGCTTCTAGTATTTAATAACCTAAAATGTTTACGTAGATTTCATGTTTGATGTGGAATTCATGCTTTTTAAAAGAACAACATGTGAGTTAGTATCTTTGTTTTTGTAAAACATTTGCATTTTATATATGTGCTTTTGTTCTTCACCATCTTAATACACCCATTTAACGCATGCTTCTCCTGATTGCGGATAACCACAACATTCTTTTCTCAATATCCTCATTATCAAATTGGTTTTTCAGAATAACCAAACAAGAATAACGACAATATTCCTTTCCTGATCTTATCGTAGACGAGCTTTCACTATAAATGTTTTACCATAAGAGGGAGTGATGATGGCTATCATGCTTTTTTTTTTGCCTTGCTAAACCAAGGAGACGTGTAACGTCTCATTGTCTTTTGTTTATTTTCACATATCTGTAGATGCGTGAGTTATCTTCCTTTAATATGAAGAAACAGTGTGAGTATTTCTCATCTTTTTTATGATGCCTAAAGGGCAAGGAAATGAAGTGTTGGTCCTGGAATGGTAATGCCTAACATCAGAAGGTGAGGGTGAATACAAACATTGTGGAATTTCACTTTTAATTCAATATGTTTACTAAAAACAAAGAATTACAAATTTATTGCGAAAGCTAGAAATGTAAGACTAGATCCTAAACAATCTGACAGGTAATAAATTTGCTAAAGAGTGAAAGAGTAATATAAGAAAAAAAAATACTTTTTTAGATATGAAGAACCAAGATAGTCCTACAGATTGTTGATACCGACTTTTTTCTAAGAAACTATCGCTCATAATTTCTTTTAAAATTGTTGCAACATTTGACAAAGATGGTCTTTTCACTACTAGAAAATCAGGTATCAGCGACGAATATCAGCGAGGGAATTTTTCCCTCGCAGATCAGCGAGGGATCAGCGAGGG